AATTATCATTTTTGGGTGGAGCGGTGTTAGGCCCAAGCAAAAATTTCGTTCGAAAGTATGTTCCAGGCAAGGAAGCAGGTTGAAACGATGTACTTACCTATCCAGTCAAGAAGAATGCTGTGCTATTATTCATAATATGCTCGATCTGATCTATTATAGTTTAGTTAGATATGCGAAACCTTAAAAGTAGTTATTCGACGGAGTGGATAAAATAAAATTAAAACAGAAATATATATATTTGACTACCTTCAATCAGAATAGTTTCGGTATTTCTCCACGGTGTACTTTATTGGACTAAGCGTGTCGGTATTTTAGACGTAGATTACAGTGACAGCATCAATGTCCTACAGACGAAAATGCAGTCTTCTTTCCAGGCATATCTTCGGTTCAGATAGATGAGCTTGAGACAGACTATTCAGATCTTCTGAGTGTGACCATAAGGGGTTTCGCAAGGCTATATCTTAGAAATCTTCCTTCAAATAGCATGTTTAATTTTGTAAACGAAGCCTGGCTATCGTTAACCTAAAGTTTTCCGGCCACGTGTGTAGAGATGGGATTCATTGTTACGCTGTTTTCAAACGTACAGATATTGATTGTACGCAGGGCTGAAAATTTTCATTTCTCGACTAAGCTCGACCAAACGAAAAATGAAAAGCAACTTTTATTATGGAACAATCATCAGTTTAGAGCAAGTGACTTTTAGACAAATATTTACACTCGAGTTCTCTATGTAGCAAAAAGAGCTACTACAATTAGTTTTGCAGTTATGAAAAAAGTAAATGTTTGCAGTTAAGAAAACAGACAACTTCCGTTGAAACTAAACTGGCGCTACAAGGGTCGATGTTTCGTTTGCTAGCCTTTTTTATCCGAAGTGTACCCCTGTACTATCTACTAATTTTAAATTAGACTTGTGTGAAAATGCATAATTAAATTTTGCTCATATAGTCGCAAATTTTGTCGTAATCCAACAACCGCAGATCTTGACAATTCAACACTTCCTACATCTGTCGCTCCATCTTATTGTAGCAGCTTGTCAAATAATCCATCTACTTAATGTAACACAATGAACATTGCGCTGTAGCCTGCATTTGAAGCAGCAGAGAATAGTCACACGGCCATTTATATAGCAATAAGCGACTCCCACCCTCTGAATGTTCGCCTTCGTCCTTTTCTACCTTTCCGGAAGGTGTTCGATACAGCCCCGCGTAGCCAATCGGAACTATTTAATTCTCCACAAAGTAAAGTTCGTTGGCACCATCATGCCGGCACACCGGGTAACTTAATGCTACATCCGGTCAGTATCCTAGCTTTCTAATCGGCTTGTGTCACCTTCAGTTGTTCATCAGTTTCCCCATTCGTCGAGGCGTTGTTCCTAGGGCCGATTAGCTAGCTCAGCGTAGATATATGAGATGCTGCTTTGAAAAAAAATGTAAGCAATTTTCGTGACCCGTCACGTTGAGTTAGCGAAGGCATGCCTGGGCGCTTCATATCTTGCCATTGAATACAACGAAAAACAGGAGAGGGTAAGTAGGGTCTGCGAAGGCGAACGGGTCGTAGGAAACGCTTTGGATACCCGAAACTACATACAATTGCATGCATGTGTGGCGAGGTTTACGTAAGGCGGCAAGTGGCGTATCCGTTCCAGCGTTTTATCCAGGTTACTGTGCGGTGCCAACAACATACGGGATCATTCAGATGATACGCGGGGTAAAACGATGTGAAAGTCATTGCATCTTGATGACTGCGACTCTTTGCCGCCACTGCGCCAGTTATGTCAAAGATTGTCTATGTGTGTATCTGGCATTTCGCACGAAAAAGGCTACAGAAAGACAAAAATGGTCAGGTGGTGATTATTGGCGTTAAAGGTAGGGTAATTAAACATTAAGCATGGTAGCTATTTTCAGTTGCCATAAAACCTTTGTCTAGCCAGAAAAGGCGCCCCGACCGACGTAACCGCATGCTTAACGGCGAACTCGGAATTTGCTTGCGCAGCTGTGATGTAAGTGAATAGTAAAGCAAATGCCGTGGAACACAGTCGCAGCACATACTTATAATATTTACTGCGAATTTTGCAACAGTATCCATCATCTCCATTATATTGAGAGGTTGTAAATATTTTCACGATCGTTGATCAGAGTTTCGATCGTTTCATTTCGGAAGTACAGTTGTGGACGTATGTGCTTTATATTGATTGCATGAAATCTGTTTTTATTTAAAGTCATTCTGCGATTTCACAACTTGTTTTTCCTCTCAAAAGCCTTATCTAATTTTTTGGGCACTGTTAGACATCGAAGTACATTGGGTCCTAGGACGACGTTCTGCATGGTGTTAGAGATCAGGGACTTGCAGACAAGGGCACGACGCTAGAACCGGTATGGGAAAAAATAGTAACTAGGTTTTTTTTATGACACGCTAAGTATTTGCTGTCCATATGAACGAAATAAGGTGTCGCGTAGAACTACACTATCAGTATTTTTACTTTTACACTACACATTCCCATAGATAAGTGCTTTTACTCTGTCTTCGCAAGTGAACGTACGATGCTGCTTGTAACAGAGCTAATATACTAGACAGCCTAGCTACATACGACCACCATGTTCACTAGTGGGAGAAAAACATTAGTAGAGCCCACAAGCCAGCATCGTTAGGGGTCGGTGAACAGAGCACAGAATGCATAAACTCAACGAGATGATGCCACTTCCACTACGACAAGCAAAATTTCTCCGTTTTCTACGCCCCAACGGAGGACCGATAGCAACGTATTGCTTAGCAGTAAGTGGCAAGCTATATATGGCATAAGAATAATGGGGCGCATCGTAGTAGGATCTGACCGACTGCCTACATTAGTCTGTTTGCCGGTGAAAGCAAGCAAAAGAAATACATAGGGGTCGAGTGGAGGGGTCTGGGCAGGCTTTCATTTAGAGCACCGTTCTCATGTCGCTTCATTGGACCCCTCTTTTCTCTAACCAGGCAGCTAGCAGCAAACACGAGCGTAAGAACTAGGCGGGGGCGGGGGAGAAAGCTGGAAGATCTGTATGGCGGGCTGGATTTTACGAGATGTTGCTTTCGATGCTGGAAGAACGCAGTGTGTGATGAGTGTGTAATATCCCGACTTATTATATAAATTGCTGCCATCTATTATAATGTACTCTTAGGTTTATGGTCAGCAGTAGTAAGTTGAATTTTCGCTTTCGACAGGCACGAAAGAGACAGCGCTACCAGGATCGCAATGCCATTTTAGAGAAAATGTGTCTTATGAACGTGGCGACCAATCGAGTTCAATGCCAGAACCTAAAGTAGGTCGTGCTACTATTGGACACTCGGACAATGTAGAACACAGCGGACAACACAGCAACTGTAATCCTGCTCAACTGTCGGATATCGAAAAGGTCCGTGAGCGACCGAAAAGATTAAAGCCTGCGTTAGGCTCGAACTAACACAAATAGTGGCAGTATAGCGAAAAATACACTATTTGTATTCTAGTTGCAATGATAGGTTTCCATGAGGATTTTCCTTACGGAGAAACGTGACTGTTTAGCGACAAAATGACTATATATATATATATATGATGCTGTCATAAATAAAGCGGAGAAAATTTGAATCAATATCCCAGCCGAAATAGGAGAGATATGTTCATACTGTTTTTGATGAAAATATTCAATGGAAATCAACAGAATATTCAGAAGAAATCGATAGAAAACATGCAGCCTCAAGTAAACAGGTGTGAGATCTTAATATATGAAAGTTGCGGTAATTTAGGCAGCTATTCATTATACTTAAAATATGAGACAATACAGGAGGCCTTATAAGTCAAACCTATGCCCAAAGTACTTTGGTCCAAGAAACCTCAAAATCAGCAAGCAGTTTCTGCAGTCGAAATACTAAAAATAGCAAAAGTAAGTAGTACTTCTACATGGCAGGCAAAAAAAACGTTTTTTTTTTTCCTTAAAAGCCTTATTTTTGTAGAATTTAAACCAACCTTTTTGCAAAAACGGTCTGTCGTCAGCACGTGTTTAACTCGATTAATACCAGGCGGATATGAGTAAAATTGGCTATCACGATCTGCAGCATACAGGAAGTCACCTCGTTCTTAACATTACAAGCGATCAAAATACAATGCCAAAAGCTTAAATACATTTTAAAGCTTTGCGTAGTACAGAATCTCGTTGAAATAAACTCACTTTAGACATCTCCGGTCAGTTTATCCGATAGCACCTGCTACTATTTTCCACCGACCCGAAGTACACTTTAACGAAGATCCGGGAAACTGAGAATTAGTGAGTTGTAGTCTCAACGGACGCATGTCCAACCATCGGGGTTGAATCACATACTCGACCCACCTAAAAAGTGGGCTTTGATAATGCCTGATCGTACATGAAAAGTACCACTCAAATTCTCTTAAAAAATTCAACTAACTTTAGATATCTACGAGAGACGGTAGGAGGGAAACACGGCTCTATATCCAAAAACAATTAAAATGAAACGCATAACAACGTATTTTTGCGGTTTCACTTGAATTAGGATTTACGAACCAAACAATTAATTATCACAGAATCGTCGAAGTCTTACTTCATGTATCGCGTCAACACTATAAAGAAGTGTGTGAATGTCTTTAATGCGTTCGCTCTATATGTACCCTTTCCCGCAAATAATAAGAAGAACGTAATTTCTCATAATAAAAAATGTACTTATCCTAAATGAGGTTTCCTCATGCTTGTAGTATATGCTAACATGTCTATTTTAAAAGCACCCCCAAATGGATGTTATCGATACATCGAGTTCTATCACTACTGAGTTGAGAACACTAACCAACTGATTATACCAACAAATACTAAAATCTTCCTTATAGAGATTTTCGCACACTGTTTTCAGTATTAGAGATTATAAAGTTGGCATTAACCCAAATTTTCCCAAAGAGAGCATCACGTAAACGAAATCCAGTTTCATTTTTACAGTCTGCTCGTATAGTAACGTGTCAGAAAAGATAATAACAAACTTACCTGTCGAAGTCTCGAGGAATTCAGCATACGTATGTTGTAGAACTAAACAGAATATATTATATGCTGGCGGTATGTAGCCCGCCAATCCCCGAGAAAAAGGACCAGGCATATTCCTAAGCGTTTTCCATATTCGATAATAACGGTGTGCGAAGAGACACAAATATGAAGCGAATATTGCTACCAGTACCATTGCAGCCGTCTTCTGAATCGCGCTAAGGCCAGCAAATGTTTGTCGTATTGCCTCCATGATGAGATACCGAACAGAGAACTCTACACACGCACACTGGCCTAAGCTAGACCCCTTAATGGGTATACTTTTATCATTAAATTAGCGTAGAAAATCGAACAGGGATTTTGTTTGATCTGTAATCGCTTTTACAAGCCACTTAACGGTGATTCCTTAGTTCACGTCGATGACACCATTGCAATGACTAAATTGAATCTATTTATTTTCAGTTAATTACGGTAATCAATTACGGTTCACAGGTATTTCGTTCTGTTTATTGTTATGTCCGCATCTACACATTCGTCACCACACGAGAACTCCGTGATCCTTATACACGAAATTAATCAGTCAATGTATTGTGTCCTTTCGTAATTGTTTATCTCATGCATCCAAACTGCTTCATTTCGTATAATCCGTTCGCTATCCTTCAAGATACTATCACTGTACAATCACAACCGTTCCACAGAGGAAGCTTCAATTTGCTAAGGGTCCGCACCTTACCACAATTCTCCAGGCCATAACCGTTTTTTTGAACAGCGGCCGCATGCGGTAAGAACAATGTGTCAATTGTCAAATATTACTGTGACTGTCGTTCATGCATTTGCTACTCCAGTCGCTAGCAGGAATTACCCGTTAGTACACATTTGCTATTGCTTCGTCCAGGTTAATTCCTGCTCGTCTTGTTGGCTGACGGTGCTGTTTCTGCCGTACGATTAAGAGCATCCACTGTCAGACTAGTCTCTCCCATTATTACTGCTGCAGATCTTCCGCACTTCTTCACTTGGTGTTCTTCTGTAGAGAAATTGATCGACTCGCTCTGAAAGGGAGACAATTGAAAGCGGAAGCAGAAAAGCAGCAGACGGAACAATTGTAAATAAACTGCTACCATTATTAGAACTATGTGTGACTGTGTGATTAGCGTCGACAGCTACGACCAGTCATTGCGAAGGCTGGCGTCGACGTCAGTATTGCTGCTATACGACCTTGACAGTGGCAACGATGAAGTAACGGTATAAAGACAGGCGGGCTTTTGCTTGTTTGCTGATGGTGCACTGCGGGGCAGCTCGCACCATTCTGCTATGTTGTACTTTTAAAGACGTTGTGGTAGTCAACAAGATTGTCAACATTATTAGATTGTTCAGAAGACAGCTACCTTTTCCTACATGAAGTTAGGCTGCCTCATGCACAGAGGTCTGCGACCGGTGTGAGCCAAAAGCGGAGAATCCGTGAACGGATTAGGCCAGGGTTCTGTCTGAAACGGCTGACCATATCAACATACTAAACATTATAACAGTTAGAAGCCAGAGCAAATTCTTACCAAGGCGACTTTCGCTCTCGCCAAGACGTTACTTTGGGATCTTAAAGTGGAGGAAGAAAGCAAAACAATGTCTAGCTTAGTTTATAGATTTGTCGACGGCCCAAATAGAAACCGTACGGAAGTCGTAGGAAAAATGGACGCAACCAGGAACGGGACACCGTAGACCAGGAAACTAAACGAGGTATTTTATGTCAGACTTGTCAGCCTAGTATGACAACAACAACGGCGATCTCAGCTACCATAGCACGCAGCTATCGGCTGGATATGATCAGTACCAAACCTACATAACAAAGATGGGGAAAAGGCAACGTCACGTATCCGTATTCTGCGCGTTCAGTGAAACAAACAGGGTGCATCACATGGTATGAAACATTGCCAGAAGGTCCTTGGATCATGTTTAAGGACGTTATTGATCATATACTCGGGTCTACAGAGGCACGGAAAACAGGAATGACCTTTCTTCGGAACCATTATGCGAAAAAAATAAAATCTAGAAAGGACAAGAAGATGGAGGCTTGAAAAAGAGTGTCAGGAAGTACAAGCTGAGGCTGAAAAAAAAGAAGCAACCACAATTTCTCGTTGAGGAATTTAGAAATGTGCTTTCAATACGGTTCCAAGTCACACGAAAAGTAGCAAAAATGGTAGCGATTTAGTCGGTATTGTCGTGCTTTTCACCATCAGAGTGCGTGCTTCCATCTGTCCGTGAACAAATTATGAATCCTTCACCCGGGTCCCAGCAAGCGGACTATAAAAGGAAATAGCTTTGGGTATCTCGGTCATGCGTAAATGTATTGGCTCATACTTCTGTATGATATACATCGATGTTGGCTGTTACTTTGTTCTCTATAAATTTTTTTATCTCGTTTTCATTACAAACTTCTCTCACCGTTATTCCTGTGACTTGTCACCCACTTAAAATGATCGCGTTATATGTATGTATACATATACATGGGCAAAGATATCTCATAAATTCCCACGGAGACTCAATAACTCATGCACCTCCTTTATCTCAAGACAAACGGTTTAGAATTAGATTTAAGTATTTGTTGATTAAGCGTTATTGTGAAATAACACTTAAATAATATGCAGCCTAATTCAACGAGTAATCACAGAAAAGTAAAATTACAAAAGACAATCGTTTTACATTACGGTGTCAAAGAAGCTTTTCTTCGCTGCAAAATGTCAGTCGAACAGTATTCTACTTTGGCGTACGTATATAGTACCTCTAAGCTCTTGTTCAGGTCGGAAGATTTTGCAATTGCTTTGTGGCTTTTTTTTGGAGGTTGAGGGCAAATGCATTATGCAAACCAGACATCACTGAATTGTGCTTTGTCTGGTACTGTATAGTATGTATCTAATACTATTTTGATCGTTTTGATCTAATAATAGGTATATTCATCTCTCCTAAGTACGGTCTGGGGCTTTTTTTCTGTCTAAGTAGACGTATAAACATGGATTTATAATAGCGTGTACCATAGTGATCGTTCAACCTCGACAAACAGCAAGTAAGTATGTGATATAACTGGAGAAATTATTTCGCATATTTTGGAAACATTGGCAACGGCTTTATACCTTTTGTACGTAATGGTATCTATTTGTCTAACGTTCGTATATAAATAGGTCAGGGAGAATTATGTGTTGCTTTAGTACCATATACCAAAATATATTACCGCAATGTTTGTGTCTTAGGGAAATAACTCACCTCCTGAATGAAACACCACCACCTTTATGGCAAGTAAATGTACAATTGAAAATCAGAAACACATCAGAAACTGCTTCACTGAACCTACTCGTTCCTCAAGTACATTGTTTGATCTGAATGTTCCACAATATTTTTAGGCCTCGCTATCAAAACATGAATTCATTGGACGTACAATATATCTGTATCTGCTTCCTCGTTTAACTTCATTCTAAAACGTTATGTTCAGAATTTTCTACGTACAGTCCTGCCTGTAATACAACGTACAATTTCTAGTACGTTACATTACAGATATAAAAGGTAAAAAATTACGTGCTTAAATATATTTCTTCTTATTTATATAAGATATACTATATTAAATGGCCTAAGACGAAGAAAAAAGGTGCATCTAATAACATTGTGTTCAGCAATTTGCTTAAGAGGCTCAAACTCCATTGGATAAATCTAAAGGACGCGTGTGGATGGATGCTCGCTTACTAAGGCCGAATATACTCATCTCATCATAAATAATTTGTGCGTATTGAATAATACGAAACGCTGCTTCAAGCTGATATCGCGTAAAAACACTGAGCTGACATGTCGCGTTATAGGATTCTGACATGATTATCTGATATATTTTAATAAACGCAGACATATGTAGATTCCAATCACGCGCTCTATGCTCTGACGGGTCGAACTAGACCAAGTTTTCTTGCGCTCAGTCTTAATATTGGACTTCATAGCTTTCGAATTCAGGAACATCTAGTTGTAGGCCGCCCATGCCTAACCTAAAAGTTGCCAAAAAGAACACACATCCCAGCGGCTCTGGCCGTACTTCGTTTATGTATTACTGGGTCAGATTGTATCTCTGAAAATGATCAGAGAGATTTTAGTGAAATTAGGTAAATATGGTTGTATAAACTTCCAAAAAGGGTTAAAAAAAAATAAACCGCGGTAAAACTGTTACGGTCAACAGCGCCTGGCAGGGACGCACTTTTCGTCAGAAGCTAAGTTACAATTCTACGACTTCAATTTCATCTTCAGCTAAATTATACGTTTCAAGAAACGTCGCTGTTGGGAAATCTAAAACCTCTACATGAAAAGTGCTATTTTGGAAGCTGGAATATTCTGATAAGAGTTCAGCTTAGGTCTCTTAAAATCCGTTTGTTACACTTCTGTGCCAAATTGGGTTTCATAGCCATGCAAGTTATATTTGATGTGTATATTGCAACCGCATTTGCCAACTCCGATCGACGTCAAAATATCGCTCTATTAACTGGTTATTCTAACTGCTCTTTGTTTGCCTCTGCCTATGTCTACCAAAACGAAGACGCTGCCCTCTGCTGGACTGCGGTGTAGGCGAAAGATGTACTGCTAACTTCATTCAAAAGACGTTACACCTATGACGCTGGCTCCTAAAAAATGTTTTTAGAAGCCGAACTGTAAGTCCTGGTCATAGCCTATGAACTCCACCCCCAAGTGATCCAATGACAGGAACTCCACCCCTGGCAAGGGCCTCTACACCGCACGTGATAATGGGTCATCTACGTAGCTGAGTATGGCCGCCTTTTATAAATGTTTCGAGTTCCAAGCTATTTGTTTCAAAGTAAGTAGTAACGTTTAGCTTTCTGCTAGCTTCTGGAAGGTTCATATTTAAACAGTTCCAACGAAAGTCAACGCGGCATGGATGCATCTCTAAACCTTTTTATAAACAGTTCTAGTGCAAATGACTATGATAACTATGCCCGTTACACAATGTAACAGTTAGATGAATTGAATTAGGTTTATTAGAACAGCAATAGCAGGCCTAAGTTGATTGATTTCCCATGAAAAAAGTTCACCGTGAATGCGACTCGTTTGCCAACATCATTTCTTATATAACATGTGCAATGGCTAATTATTTAATTTCCAATAAAAATAATCTCCCTAGTCATTTGTAAGCCTGTCTTATCATAATGAAATCCTTATTTGTAAATAGTAAAGGTCGAGGACAGGAAAGAGGATATGTTGAGGTTGAAGGATTCAAGTGCGGTTGCACTTCTGCTTCCCGCAAACGCACGCGCTGGTACTAACGGAACAGCCATCGGGATGGAGAGCATTGCTTACTAACTGTTGCTGTGTTAGTGTTTTTTGGAAATATACAAAAGGTGCAACTAGAGTCCCTTCATTCCATGGCCTTCACATGGCTAGTTCTTCACGCAATTTAGCCGAGTATATTCGAAAGGGTTCAAAAAATTATTCTTAAATGGTAAAATTAGCCAGGTTGCTTTTTCAAACTAATTTCAAAGAAACTGTCGCGTTTTCATCGTTGGCATACACATAATTGTGGAGTCTGACAACATTCTACTCCGGCCGTCTCGTTATCATTCCTACGCTGAAAATTTACTGTTACAGTAGGTAAAAGAGCGACTCGTGAGATAGAACGTATGTGGTACCCGTTAACTATATCCAACGCGGTAACAATTTCGACAGTGACTTGTTGCAATTTAAAACATGTACACATTTTATAATATTACATTTCACGTTATATTGTACACCGCAAATGAACCGGCACCCAGCTACGCTGTCACTCAACAACTACTGCCTGTACAGCGCGAATTTGCATAGAAAGCTGCTTTATGTACCATATTGCTAGATCTAAGAGTTCATTCTCTCAGTTTCAAACTTCCGATTTCGCAATTATGCAACATTTGCAATTTTGCCCCAGTAACACCATGAGATTAGAGGCTAAAGAGCAAGACCTAGCCCGAATGTCATGCCGTTCAGCCTTTTCTCAAGCACTTTAGCTGCGAAAGGGACAGTTTGAGTGCCGTTAAAATGATGCTTTACCGCCGAACATCGAGGAGGAACTAATCTGTCCGAGTCGCGTCACAGGCTAATTGTCCCCGTCGTTTTTGTAATTGAATTATCACTATTTCCTTCACTACCATCACCGCTGCCGCGCTAAGCCGATAACGTTTACCCATGAAGTCCCTAAAACGTAAAATGGCCAGTTGGGTCCTTCATTTCCGTATCTTCTCGTGGCTAGCGTTCGGTGCGCGGCTCTACCCCTGTTGAAATGACACTTCACTCTAATTCCAGCGTCTGCACTCAGCCGATGACAGACGCAGTGCTTAGCTTAGTTTTAGCAGACTAGCTGATATGCCTGCAGGCATAGTGAAAAGTACTCCCACAAGTACGAAGGAAGGCAAACTCACTTACTCCGTTTCATACTGATTTTGCTAATCAACGGAGAATAGCGGGCGGGTAAGTTGAAGGATGTAGTGAAGACAAGGAAAGCGACGCAAGCCAAGATAGGGCTTCTCCAGTCGCCGTACACCGTTTGGGACCGCCGTGCTGATTTTCAGATTATAACACTATCTCAGACCTCCATGCACTAGCCAATGGCCGATGACAGCTGACCGCTGCTCAAAAAAAGTACGATTGAAGGTCTCGCAGTGATACTCTAGCGACCTGAAACTCGGTAATAGGCTACGAATGTCGGCCGCACGGAGTGAAGCCTAAATTCAATAAGAGCGGCCTTATGTGGCAACAGCGTAAAGGAAACCTTTGGACCGGCTGGTTTTGCGAATCAAGCAGGAAATGAACATGATTCAGAAAAGGAAAGAGATTGCAAAACTTCCCAAGGGAGGCTGCATTGAAGTGTCCTGAACTGAGACAATAAGTTGTTGAAATAAAATAGGATAAAGAAATAGGACACCCTCGCAGTAGCAAGAAATATACCAATGATGACTAAGATTGATGGACGCTTTCACTAGTCAAGAAGAAGCACACATAAAAATATCGGCTGAATTTTAAACACCTAAAAAAATTATGTATCCTTTATAATGTAATGAGTTATTTAGGTTACTTAACTCAGATCGCCGGCTTTGTTATCTCTTGCCACGCATGGAGGCGCCCAGTACAGGGCAGACATAAAGTCGTCAGAAATCTTTCGTCGAACTTCACCAGTTGCTTGTAAATAAAGAGTAAATGTTTATTATATATTTTTGACGAATTTAGCCTTTTGGCTTCTTTATGAACAGCAAGATCTAACTAACTTCACATATAGTAATTAATAGCTGCTTCTGTTTATGGATTCTCTATCGGGTTCTTGCGAAAACATTTTTTCCCAAACTGCATGCAGCTCGTGCTAGCTGAATATAACTTCGCCGGCTCATATTTTGAAGTACCTTACGTCAGCAGAAGTCTTATCTAAGCCTCTGAACGTTCGCATATTTTATAATGCGTTGTACATAAAGTATGGAGAATCGTAACCGCAGTGCTTGGATAAGGAAAGTAATTATCGATTAATTTTAATAATGATCCGGTCGGTATATTTTACTTAGCCATACTGAGCCATTCATCTGCGGCGAACTCAAGGACCGGTGACGTGCCGTAAGACACGACTCCATTGGGAAAATAGCCATGCCCAGCAGTATTCCCGCCTCTCGGAAGTCACAAGCGAACAAAGTACGTCAGTGTAGTGTTTTTCTTGCCTTTCTCGAGTTTTTGTTTTCAATAGAAATAATGACTACGTTAGTCAACCAGGCACACAAATGGATCTCTTTGCTCAGACAAAGCCAAATCCACAGTAGAAAGAAGAGTCCATGCAAGGTCGTATCGCTGCTTGCTACGCGAGTGAGCATGATTTGATGGGTGAACACTCTCGGTGATAAGCGCAACTCGGAAATATGTTTTGTTCTATTTTGTTACGTGCATGTCGTGCCGTATGGACACCTAGCGTTCATGTTTAAGAGCGCCCAAAATATTTTTGCCTGGCCAGATCTAATGTTCAGTGTGTAAAATGTGTAGTTTACATGAATGAATGTAGAATTGATACTGTAGATAGGTTAAGTAATGGCGAATATTCGCATAGCCCAGTGTTGGCCTATGACAAAGCAAATGTCCTCATTCTAGCCAATTCTTTTTAAGAATTATCAAGAAGAAAACACGACGTGTACCAATCTCTATATGTGTGATAGGAAAAATATCGTACCATTTAGCCCTAAGGGGGTATTCCGCGTTTCGTTTAATGTGTAATGTGCGAATGAAATCAGTGTGACGTACCCAAAAATCATAGCTAATGAATTGTAAATTGACGTTATTAATATTTTCTATTTCATTGACTTGCTTACATATTTAGTTGCGATCATGTTAGCGTTCCCGAAGTTGATTGCCTGTACCGCATTATGTCATACAGTATCTGTACTACCTATTGTGCATTGGTATAGCAAGAAACCTTGTCCCAGCTAGTCGCTCAATTTACGAATAAATATCACGCCTTGTTCGTTCGCCTATTTCGATTCATCGTCTTCCCGTTTGCGATGCTTGATTGTGTTGCAATGACTGTATTTTGGTTGACAGTGTTTCTGCATCATTAGTTTTACGCGTTGAAGTCAGCTTAAATTGCACTGCGGTCGCATTTGCCCTTGATCTTCAAACAGAAGATAACAAGTATTCGTCGCAGCGATCATGACATTAGCAGCAACAGCTTTGACAATACTGCTGATGGGTGAAGAAGCAGAGAATAAGATTTCGTTGACTAAAAGGGTAAAAGCTGTTTCCAGTTATGGCATCAGTCCTGAAAGCACCTTGGCCGGACATAGACCATCGTAACAGAAACGCAAGCGAATGCCCGCACACGTACAGAAACTGCAAAAAATACCAATGATGCCTGGTTCCGCTGTGAATTTATTGAAGGGACGCATGAGGGGTTGCGGCTTGTACATAAACGTTACAATAGATGGCTCGCGCTTCAATCAGTCAGTTGCTTCGTGGTAATAGCAATATATAATGGCTCAATTCTATAACTTCCTGGTAACTGTCGGTTCCTGAACTGCGCATATACAATGGAGCAAAGTCGTAACAATAAGTGATGCAAGCATTACTACCTCGAACGAAACGACTGGTTCTAGTGGATCTAATCTATTACTTATTTTTTTTTATTATTTAAATTTGTATTATATATACGTATATATATATATAAATTAAAAAAATATTACTATTATGATATTATTAATCTGACAGTTCTAATCAATTACCACTAAGGTATTATGATGTGGAAAATGCAAAGAAATAATTAGCCTATGCAAGCATGACGGGAAAATCCTACCGGAATATTGTATCGTCCTGATCTCAGCTATTGGACTCCTCAGAATTTGTTAGATTCACTTAAACATGTTTATGTTAATCATTCACGAATCCAGGCTTACGTAAGGCGTACTGAAGATGTGTTTTTATCCTGTCACACCCTATGCGGCTGACAGACGCCTTTCTAGATAATTTCGATTTCCGAATCTTCGTAGAGTACACATTCGAAGCAATTCGTTACGTTACACGTTAATGCTGCACGGCTGTTGCGGTAGGGTTGCACCAAAATAGTAATTTTTCTTCAGCCTCTTTAGACCATGCCATAAATAATTGAAGTGAAAATTTACTTAATAGAATAAAGCGCAGCTTTGGCTTCGACTGATTAAGCTATGCGTTTAGGGCAAGCTATGTGCTAAGTATATGGAGATTAGGGAAGATTGTTTTAGCTAGGTAGGTATGTTCGTTTCATGAATGTACATACAAACCCCAAGGTAAGTTTTGGAACGCCCTGAACGATTAGTTTCTATGCCCTATCGTGTTTAAGTGCAGTGGGTTCGCTGTAACAGAACGGATATCATAGCTAGCGTGTCTGTATAATTGTGTAAAAATCAAAACACTCTTAACGAATAGCTGATGTCTAAAAATATATAAAATAAGCTGGACGGTTCATCAGCACGTTTATCACTAGATGAAATCAAAAAGTGACTCTTGTTTTCTATACGTTCCTTGTAGCGTTCAACAATACCATGGCGACTATATGACTGACAAAGCAAGTACCGACAACAACGATAATGAACTTACACAGAGAACGGTGCGTGCGGCCCAACATTACATAAGTTGCAAAGCTTCCTACAGACGAAAAGTAAAGGTGTTTTCTTCCTCTTAGAAACAGTGCACAGTTGTAAAAATGGATTAAGATCCTTTTGGATCTTGTAGTTTTTGCACAGCACATTGGTGGTATTATTAATACTTTGTCGATAGTTACATCCGTGCTGACGTCCATGAAGCATCAAAGTGCGGACCTTCCGAGTGTAGGGTCATCTCGTCCAACAGTTCTAACTGTTGGTCGGCTTATCTCTCGACCAATCGCATCTCATGAATCCAACTTCTTTCTCTCTAGTTCGCTTTAAATTCAAAGATGTGCGCGCGAACTTGACGCCGACAGCTAACCGACTTTGTGTCTCCAGCACCCCGCTTCACTGTGTTCATATACAGAGGTCATTGGACGTGAGATCGTCGTATTTCCCGGAAATGCTTCGTTGAGATCTGCTTCTTCGTGTTCTTGGTTAAAAGGACTCTTCTATCGGGGTCGGCATCGAAATGGCCACCCCGCAGAAAAGACTGTTTTAGGCTTCGCCAAGCACACAAGCCTTCAGCCTCGAAGCGCCAGTTTTCAAGAGTCCGGCTCGCTCCAGGTTATTCATTCGCCTTGTCAGGAAATCGAGGACATTTACAGGCACGAGAGAATGAAAAAAGAGATGACAGCACGGAAGGACCGAGACAAGGTAAAAAAAATAAAATTCAAATATTTATAATCGTTGAAAAGGGCTGGTAACTAAAAAGGTTGGGTTATTGCATTATGACATTAAGTTCAATCACTTATTGAGAAAAATTATTCCTCTCTGGCTTGACCTTTATTGTCGGAAACACTGCCTAAATTTCTACATGCTGTTACAATTTCTTAAACATGAGGCATATATGTTAATACTATATATGCTTAATTATATTTAAATTGAGAATGATGAAAATGCGTTACTTTTCGAACATCTGATACCACTATTTATCGCTTAACTACGACTCCTTTTTGTAAAGTCATTTTCACTTAGATTGGTGGTCCAAAAAATCCGATCTTCCCTAACTTTCTAAAACGTATCCTTTAAACTTAGTGCCCAATTTAAAGTAATGCTTATAGAAGTTTCGAAAAGTATCGTTAACTTGTATCGTTGAAAGTAAGTTTCAAATTTAAGTGCAAAGAACCTGCATTAGACCTGCAGTGTAATTTCATTGTAATATATTAGCTTGGTCACTTAACCATCCAATTTAGCTTCAAATATACTTTGCAAGAAATGCACCCCTACAAAGGAGTGCGCAATATTGTGCATTTCAGAATAGTTCATTTAATTATTTGGAAAAAAACAATAAATTATTAAATAAATACGTGAAATAAACCAGTAAAAACTTATGCGAGCTTTAATTAGCTCCACCGGGTTTTATTACAGTTGACAGCCATTACACAATACTTGTTCTATTAGTGGAACATTTTAAAAATTAACGCAGATATTAATTAAAAATAAACATTTGAGAAGTTATCCATGCAACGTCACCTAACGAATTTTTAACCAATTTCATACCAGTAACTTGTTTCTTGTTTTCGTAATGTCAACTTTCTTTAAAAATTATGTCTAACAGAATAGAAAAACCCTTCCTTTTTGAAAAATTTGCCGTTTGCTGCCATTGCAAAACAATGTAGCAGCGCGGAGAGCTAGCTACATGCCTGTGTTCTTTCGCTGTTTTGTGCTTTCAAATAATATCGATCGAGACATTACAGAGAGTCACTACTATTATTACGTCATTGAGAAAAGTTTTTGTGTTGCTGGTCGTTAGAAATCTGGTCGTTAAGAATTGAAAGAAGGATCGCAGCTGCACTACTGAGGTAAACATAAGACTGCAGGACTTCATCTCTTAAAATTCAAATCAGCTAATAAAGCTGTACAATACTATCCAAGTGTCTGAAATTGCACTATTCAGCGGAAAACAGGCCATATACAGGTCGGAATACAGGTTGCGCAGCATTGAGATCTTTTGGGGGGTTCAAGAGAACAAGTTCAGGTATTTCCATCCCATAACAACGAACGGTAGAAGTTACGTATATATATATATACGTAACTTCTACCGTTAGTAATGCATATATATATTGGAAAAGTATTTCCAGCTAGATGGCTTTAAGATCTTAGATAATATGTATTCTGAGGTCGGCATAAATAAATGATATCTCCGCAAAAATTTGTTAATATTTTACCATTCAAATTACGATAAAGACACAGATGCTGTCTACGTCTATAAATAACTTTGTGCTGTTCACGGTCAAGATACGTTATCGGAAGGGACGGCCCAAAGATGACTTTATCACTTTCGTTCTGGAAATTTCGATGTAAGATATGCGCGTCATCCTGGCCAGTCAGTTACGAAACAAGTTATAAAAGTTGACACTTTCTAGGTTGACACCTATTACAGACAGGTATTACCAATAAACTACGCATTTACCATCACACAATTTTAAGCCATTTTAAAATGGCTGGCTACAAAAAGAAGCTCGATGCTAGCATGCTACACGGTTTTGCACAGCATAATTTACGCGACCGCATTTCTCAATACGAAACGCCGCAAAACTCTACAGTAACGAGCCAAAATTGTGGCAAAGCCCAGACCCACGCCAAACAAAGTCAAATTATGTGTTTACAATACAAGGTATTGAAAAAAAAACAACCAGAACTAGTGAACCTAGAAGCGCCATATTCCGCCGTAACAATGCTAAACTACAGACATTTTCAGCTATTTGACAAACATATAAAGAACTTGAATGGTAGCTTTCAATGCATTCGCAGGATGGTAGCCTCAATATCAGACTATCATCTGTTTCGGCCTTTGTAAAGCTCCCTCAGCGATATTAATTAAGTTTTGATGGGGACACGCAAAAATTCATGGTCGAAAGTTTTCACTCAGGAAGTTTCAAGTTCCACTGACGAGATTATATGCTTAGAAGAAAAATGACAGAAGATGATTAATCGAAAGGGCGAATATTTAGTTTAGAAATATTATCTAAAAAAGATTCGCTTCAATTTTGTCTTGAGCTGATCAGTACCTTTTTTTTTTTAACACATATACATACAGCTCATAACAGGGCTTCGTTTCCCTAGTGTCGTTAAGTAGATGGTTCATGATCTTTTATCTATGGCGGCTGAACTTGGATATTTCAATCTATTCAATATTCTATTTGTTAAAGTTAAATTAAACTTCGGCTCTTCCTTATTATGTATTGTTTTGCCGTATAGATAACTATGCACATTGACTCGTATTAGTCGATTTTCTATATCAAGTAAATTAAGATTGGTAGTTGAACTTCCATTCTATTTCCAGTATCGAATTGGCGCGACAGTATTGTATTTTATCACTGATAAAACGTTTGCAAAATTTAGTTCAACTTTGCGTTATGCCGAATGTGTTTCTTCTATTCTCGGCTGCAAAAAGTATGTATTTCATACGCTTTCTGAGAGCAGTTTTTGTCACCTGCCATGCCTGACAATCTACTTCAAAGACGGCTCTAGAAGTATGCTTAGAACATTTTCAAAGGGGTCTAGACATGACTCGGCGACTAACTAGGATTTGCTGAAGTAGCGAAATCTGACTACACTTCTTCTTAAGCAAGAGATTAACTTCTCCAAACCGTTTAAACGACTGGAAACTACCGTTTATTCAGCCGCGACAGCTTTTCCGAAAAGCTATTTGCTGGACGTACACGTGAAACGGGACATCCCATGAGGCGCTGAACTCCTTTCGAAACGTTATTCGCGAATGCAGTATTTGCTACCTTGAAGTAAAGGTACATTTCAATGGACGGGATTTATGGTAAATGTGTGAATATTTTTCTATCGGTTGATCTGTATTAGCTGACAGTTAATACTAAGCTTATAAAAGGAGGAAAAATTTCTCGAGCGTTATATCGGACGCCATTTTTACACCATTAGATATTTGCACGTTTTTTTTTTTGAAGTTTGAAAGTGACACCGTGCAGTCAGTCGCGCCATGTTGCGTCAGCTTGAAAGGGTTGTATTCTGTCTCTTCAGCTATACAAGCTGAAAAGGCGGAGTTGTCCTTCTTCTTGTGTTTAACAGGAACAAGGACGCATTTGGTCATCACGAAATTCAGCGGAAATCTTCCTAGCTGAAGTAGCAAACTTACAGCTTTGAGGTCGATATCATCTTATTTGCTCAGGCTTGCGACCGCGTCATTGAAGGAAGCCAAAGGAACGCGGCTACAGGTACCCTGTTCTCACGAACACTCTATTTTCGTTAAAAAAAAAAACAAAACTGTTGACTAATCTCAAATAGCGCATTTACCCGAAAGAAACGTTCTGAACGAGTCAGGGTTAGAGTCTCTTTGTTCTCTCTGCATTGTTCTGTGACTTGGCCTTGGCGGCTTCGAGGATTTTGTCATTACTATTATACGCCGTAATGTGGAAGTACGTTAAACGTCACAACCGTGATATACTTAGCGCACTAACAAGATCAGGCAACCGGTTTCGTTTCATAAACATTAGCCGATTTACATTTTCACACAGCTACTGTTTGTTGCATGCTGACATTTTATATCCATTCGGTATTCATTCTGTGTGTATATCAACTACATATCGAACTGTTAGAAAAATAACAGATATAACAGATAGCTATGTAAGTGGAGGTGGCTAAACTGTAAACTTTGTCGCCTTTGTACCGTTGAGAAGTTTTACCGAAAGTATACTTCATAGCGATACGATACTTTTACGTAGGTGATTCGCTGTTTGTTAGGGAGCTCTGTTTTGCGTTTCTCCATTTCGTCTTCGGAGGTTTGTAGAGGACAAAACGATTATTGTTGTTGTAAAAAAAGAACTTGTGTAGAAGCATGAAATAAGCATAAGATACATTCACAAATGATTAATATGCCGTGCGCGGGAAAAGAGTGGTAATAACATACAGTTGATGTAATAATATAATTCCGATCAACGCAATATATATATATATATATATATATATATATATATATATATATATACACATAATCAGCAGAATATGCATTGTGTTGAATCGTTTGAGAAGAAAATCGCATTGTAATGTAAATGTTCCCCGAGACAGAGTATCGTTGAGCATCGCACATCTTCAAAAAACTATCCGATCCAACAAACAGCAACGATGTGCATCAAATTTTAGCCAAAAACACGGTAATTCGAGGTGTCCAATGTGGACTACAACGATTTAACAAACAATGTCTCAGACACGGATATCCCATATTATCGTTGTGTCCTGTATACCAATCATGATCATCCATCCAGCCTGACTTCTCGTCCGCAAGGAAACGAATCATTGCGGTGCCGATCAAAAGGAAAACGATTTGTACTCCTATAAGATACTCTTCACTTGTACCTCATAGAGCAAAATGTTGATTGTAATGGGCAGTGAACATTTATAGAAAGAAATTCATCGTCCGAGATGTACTCCTTTCAATTCAAACATAACTACTCCGTGTTTAGGTTAGCGCTATTTCCCTCTTATCTGAAATAATGACATGGAACTTCATACTTCCAGATAGTAGTTTCTGATAGCTTTTTTTACTGACAGGAGCTTTCTCCGAGTTATCGCATTGGACGGAAATTCTTACTGTGGAAGTTGCCAAAAGCTAAATATTACGACTAGCTAATTTCACCAACTACACCCTGACTGAAAAGAACCCTCAAGCGATTTGGGGTG